GGAGGAGGGGGAGAGTGGTAGGAGAGGAGGAGAGGAGGAGGGGTGGGGTTGGGAGAGGGGCGATAGAGGGGGGGAAGGGAAGAGGAGGAGGAGGGGGAGAGTGGTATTTAGAGAGGATGAGAGGGGGAGGGGAGAGTGTAGGAGAGAAGAAGGTGAGGGCGATAGAGGGGGGATAAGAGGAGGAGGAGACGATGATGGATGTGGGAGATGCGCAGAGGATTGTGAGGGTGCGCATGCCATCACGCAAGGTAAAGGCAGAGGGAAATGCGGCAGGCAGCAAGGCCGGCATGTCCCACCGAAACGTTCAAGTTACCACAAGGTCTGTCCATACTTCTATGTGGATTTATATTAGGAGCCCAATCAATAAAAGCTCCACCCTCAGAGGGGTCGAATACTCACCCCTGGTAACTTATGTGGCTGCTACAGTAGCTGCAACACCGCCGCAAGGTTTTAGTTAACTGCAGTTTTTCCCGCCCTCTGAGGCCACAAACTCTTTGCAGAGAATGCAGACACCAGCATGCGTTCGCCTGCAGACTCCGAGTGGACATTTCGATTCTTCTTCCAGAAAGATGGTTCCAAGCACCATCAACACACTATCTACTGGTGGAAAGAAGCATAGAGAAGATTTCATCTTGGCTGTAACAGAAAACAAACACAGAGAGGTTCATGTTGTGATTTGGCTCTCTTTGTTTCATCCTGAGACTTGCTCTAATATTTGCCAGATTGGAATATCATTGCTGAGCATTCGAGGAGCAACAATACTTCTCAGTCAATTCAAGGATGACTGTATGTATTCAACGCTTTTGCATTTAATTGATACATACACCCCAACGGAGATCCTGTTGCCCCACACGATGGAAAATAGCGGTACGGCATATGGTTGAGAAGAACTGGAATTGATACTGACAACCTAATCCCTCCTTTTGTATATAAAGCACTCCATACAGTGATTCTACAGACCGAGCATGGATTCATAGTTTTCGTCAAAAGGCATCACTGGAACGATAATAAAGGGTTAGAACAGATGAGAATCCTAGCTACCAAGGAGACAATATCCATCGAGCTTGAAGTTTCTTCAAAATATCTTGCCTTATCTTCATTTCATGCATTAATTCGGTACACGGAATTTGGGCAGGGATACTCGTATGCTGCGACAAGTTGTCGATTCGAGTACAGGTTTGAAAATAAGTCCCTAAGAATCGTTTTCGATTGTGATGTATCAGTTGCAGATGCCCAAAGGAATATTTGCAGATTGACCCCAGAACTGCTGCAAATCTTGAGATTATTCATAATGCCCGTGATGTAAAAAATGCATCCTTATTCGGAATCATGAATTTTTGTAAGACACATATGGGGCAAAGACTGCTGCGAACAAACATGCTGCAGCCACTCAGTTACCTTTCCAGCGGAAAAATCCAAGAAAGACTTGATTTCTTGGAGATTCTTTTGAAAAACGAAGAAGCATTTTACGAGATTTCTGAAAAGTTGCCACCATTTCCTGACCTGGAGTACATTGTTACAGCGACCCTTGTGCAGGTAAACCCGTTCATTCTGATGCGAGTACGATGGTAATGATTCTTTGATCTGCAGATTCCAAAATGCGGAACACAATGCATTTCGGTTGAAAAATGCCAGTCTCTCATTTCCAAAATTCTCAACATGAAAAATGCTCTGAACCTGGCTACTGGATTGGCGAACACTTTGAAAAAAATGAAAGGATCATGTGCCATTTTAGATAAAATGTTGGACTCACTTTCAGAGCCGAAGCTCGATTCAGTCAAAAATGCAATTGATAGAATACTAGCTGATGAATCTTTTCCAGCAAAGGGAAATATCCTTTCACAGGTGCAGCGATGCTTTGCACTGAGAGCAGGCATCGATTCATTATTGGATGTTGCGCGACAGAGTTACAATGACGTGATTGACGATATATACAATTTAGCCCAGCAATACAGGGACGAATATGGAATTGGTTCCATCAAAGTGGTCTACAATATTCGTAGAGGGTATCATCTCAGCATGAAATCTGATATTTCTTCTCTACCCCCGATTTTCATACAAAAATCGCAAAAAGGGCATTGCACGTTGTGCACGACAGAAGATCTTGCGAGTCTTGCTAATCGCCATAATGAATCTGTGCAAGAAATATATTTGATGACAGGACGGATTCTTGAGGTTATTTAGCTGTATTACTTAAGATCAACCGATTTTGACCATCTTTAGGACCTTGTTGTTCGATTGAGGGAACATACTGGGTATCTTGCTTTGTATAGTATAATCACCTATCCATTGTGAGATTTTGCAGATGCCTCCTTGATGTTGCAGACTCAATCAGCCTCCTGGATATGCTGGTCAATGCATCATGAACGGAAACGAGTCGATTGACCATATTTGTTCACAGCGGTCGTTTGCGCATATGATTAGTGTATCTTCGCAGCCATTTGTTAGGCCACAATTCTACCCTGATGGACCACTTGCAATTAGACAAGGGTGATGATATGCAACCGATGAATGACAACACATGTATGTAACTTTGACCCGAACAGACGGCATCCGATGTGTGAGATTCTTGCTCCTGGGTCTTTCGTGTCAAACAATACTATGATGAAGCCCAGAACATCTAGTTCGTTTTGTGTTTTGACAGGTCCAAATATGTCTGGAAAAAGTTGTTATCTTCGCCAGGTTAACTTTGAATTTTGGAGAAGGAGGTTTCATGTTGCCTCAGGTCGCCCTCATCATCATATTAGCTCACATGGGAAGCTTCATTCCAGGTAAGGTTCAATAAGAGTTTAAGATTTGGCAATACCAGTAATTATGCATTGTCCAGCTGAATATGGATGCTTCCCTTCGATAGACAAAATCTTTTCTAGAATTGGGACCTCGGATGATTTTGAGTCAAGTGCGAGCACTTTTTACCTTGAAATGCAAGAAATGTCGCATATAATAGGTCATGCAACGCAACATAGTCTCATCATAATTGACGAATTGGGACGCGGAACCAGTAATCAGGATGGTATCGCAATTGCCTGGGCTTGCTGTGAGCATCTCATAAACTTGAGAGCATTGACTCTGTTTGCAACACACTATTCGGAACTTCAGCAGCTTGCATCTATCTACCCAAATGTAGAGAATTGGACGCTTTCCGTGGAAGCAACAAAAGGAGGACTGCAGTTCTTGTACAAGGTCATCAAAGGATTTTGTCAAGAGGGCTCATATGGAATGTAATATATGACAATGATGAAGGAGACAATCTTACTTTTTGCAAAGATATGCTGCAGAGAGCGCTTTCTTTCCCAGGGAGGTCGTCGAATCAGCAAAAGAGATCAAAGCATACTTGATGCAAGAAAAATCACGAAGCTCGACGCATATTCAAGATAACACTGCACGACTGCAGGTATCAAAATAGACTGATTTCTTTGATATAAATAGTAATGTGCTTACATTCTGAATGCTAGGTTCTTTATTCTCTTGCTCAAAAATTGTTAGATCTGAAAAATTCCTCGCTGGAAGAGGGAGTGCTCAGGGGTGTGCTCTCCGACCTAAAAAAACGATATTTGAAAGGATACGACTGATCAATGTTCCATGTCTTCTACAAAGTCAGCTACATCGTAATCCACGTTTGCAAAGAATAAAGCATGGGCTGGCGCCTGATTATTGATTCATGCATGGTGCAACATGGCAATTCAATAATCGAACCATAGGCCCCGCAAACGAACGATTCTTGGCTTCCAAAATTCTTGAAATATCGTTGGGGTCTAAATTTCCCAAACCCACTTCAAGGAGGGTTCCTACCTACTCAGAGTTCACTTCAGGAAGGGAGAACATCCTCCACGCCACTGACCAAAATCCGACACATTTTATACAGGAAGCCGTTGGCCTGTATAGTGAAAGTGATAAACTGATGAATTCCTTCCGAGCGCCCGAAAAACGCTTTCGTATCAATTAATGTCAGCTCAAAACCATGTCAAAAGATTGATATGCAGCACCTGGCTCACCAATGGTCCATTGATCTTGTGCGGGGGATTCAATGATTTGCAGCTTTGATAGATTCTTGAAGGGATTAAGACGATTTGACCTGAATTTTTAGTGTGACAGATAGCTGATACGCTTTGTCATGACCTGCTTGGATCATATTTTGTAAACGAAGTGAAGTCTCGGTACCCGATGAGATTGTTTGCTGCCTCTCTCATCGCTTCAACATCGAGCTTATCACTTTTGACCAGCCCAAGGGCAAATCGATTTCGGAATTGTGGGTTCAAGAAAGGATTCAAGTGAAAACTATATTTTGAGAGAAAGGGGTCCTCTACTTCTGATGAAGTGTGTACCCGGTAAAGATAGGTCTGCGCACTCTTCGATAAGATGCATCAACGAGATTCATCAGAACCTTTCTCTGGGCAGTAAATTGGGCATGCCATAGGGGACGCGAAGGACTGATCTCCAAAATTCTTATCGTCCTAGGAAGATGCCGATTGCAGCTCGTCGTCATCGCCTGCAATTGGATGTCAAGGCACACTTGTTTTGCTTGCATCAAATTTCAAATCACTTGGAGTTCTTCCAAACCACGTCTCCGTCTGTCCGCGATATCGAAGTGGCATGGCATCCTGAGAGCGTGCACCCCTGCATCCGTCCTACCTGCCCCAGTTACCTGTATTGATTTGCATCTGAAGGCACTCCTCAAGGCATCCTACCAGAAAGTTAGTGGCGACCGAGGGCTGCATTTCACACCTCCAGGTGATACTGGATGGTGTTGTTTGATTTCTCTTGATTCCAAGTGTGCCAACCAGAAAACGACTCACCGTCATACCTGACGATCATTCTATATCTGTTCTCCCAGCTCTCCAGTCTCCAGCCATTTTGAGGCGTGCTGGAACCTTGAACACGAAGGAGCAGGGCAGACCTCAGTCGGATAGTTTCACTCCTCATCTGACTAAGGGCTGGAGGAGAAAGAAAGCTCAATCCGCTTGAACAAGACTGAGTCAAGCAATAGGATGAGACCGAACTGTCGTGGCGATCGCACGAGAGGAGTAGGAGGAGGACAAGGCTTCTATAGTCCAGCGGTCGCATTTCGGGAAAAGTTGTAACGGCCTAATGTAACGTACACTGATGTTGGAGCAGCCGTTGAGGACATCCATGGCAGAGGAGGAGGAAGAGGAGGCAGCGCAAGAGTTGACGGAGGAGCTGATCTCGGATAGCTTATCAGGTCAGACTCTCTTTGAACATCTCTTCTCCTAGTTCCTTCTCCGTGATAATTTTCTTGCAAGGAATCGAAAGTACTATTGATGGAAAGAGTGTCGCGTTCACCACGTTGAACCTTGAAGGCAAGAAGATCGGAGACGTGTCTTCTATTGCCTTGTTGGAGCATGTTAGATATGCCCATTTATCTCGGAATCTGATCAAGGACTTGAGCCCACTGTCAAACTTACGGTATCTCCTATCCTTGAAGCTAGACAACAATCGTTTGGAGACTGTTGATTTGGGCTTGATGTCTTTTCTGCAATTCGCTGACTTTTCAAACAACATAATTGGGTCGTGGCATGGAGTTGAAGCGCCTTTGCTTCGCTACCTCGACTTGAGCTTCAATAGAATTCATACAGTCACCGGGCTAGAAAAGAACTCTCAATTGCAAAATCTGTTCCTGCATGGTAACGAGTTGGAGTCATGTCAAGGGGTGGCATACCCAAACATCAAGGAGATCACCCTGCACAAGAACAAGATAACAAGTTTGCAAGGTCTAAGCGCGCTTCTCAATGTGAAGAAACTGGATTTGTCGGAAAACAACCTAGTCGAGTTGCAAGGGCTTCCCGATGGAGAGCTTGTCTCTCTTCACTTAAGGCAGAACCAAATCAGCGATCTTTCTGCTGTAACTGCTATACAGGCGACAGGCTTGCGAGAGTTGAATCTTGAAGAGAATCCTGTAGCAGACAACCTGGACCGAATCAGTGTTCTTCGTGCTCTCAGCTCGCTCACCAGCTTGAACGGAGTTCCCATCACCTCCGAAGAACAAAATCTCGCTTCCCAGCCTCCGCCTGAGGAAGGTGAGCCACCTTCAAGTGATTAGAGGACGCAGTGATAGAATAAACTAGCTGGAATATTCGAATTCTCCAGCTAGCACACTGCTGGTTCTCAGGCTGTGATCGCCGGGCATCACCTAGCCTGGCATTGAACAGCTAGCACAACACCTCACACAGGTGATCCTTCCACCTGTGAACCTTATTTAAGTCCTTTGTGGGGTTATGACTCGTCAGGGTAGGGTAGTACAAGTGAATAGTGGGGGTAGGGGTGATACTGAGGGTTACGACCCTCATCACTACTGAACGATGCAACTCCCCACGATGAGCCGAACGTGGAGGAGAAAGAGGAGGCGAGCAAAGTGATGATTGAGATTTAAGATGTCAGATGTAAGATGGTAAGATGTAAGATGTCCGATGTAAGATGTCAGATGTCAGATGTTTGCAGGTTGTAGCATCTAGATCGTACATATTTGATATATCAGTGATTCTATACTTTGGAAAATGCAAACTTGAAATCTGACATGATTTTGTTTCAGATGCGGTCCATACCTGCAGTACTGCTGATATTGTTTGTTTTCTGGGACGCTACAAACGGATTCCTGATTCAATCATCAAACAAATTGTTTTCTTCACAAGCTCCTCGAGGTTTACACCTCAAAAGGCAAACTTCTCCTCGATTTCAGCGTCTTGTCACACAAGCAAAGCTCGGAGCGATCATCTTCGCTTGTGATGGTGTGCTGGTAGACAGTGAACGGGACGGTCATCGAGTTGCTCTTAATGCTGCACTGAAGGAGGTGCGACCTGACCTGGAATGTAGCGTCGAGGAATACGGAAGGCTCCTACAAGTTCGTGGTGAAGAGAAACTCAGCAGGTATGAGCAATATGTTCTTGGCAGTATTTTCTGACTTGGTTGATGAACAGGCTCTGGGATGAGATGGGATGGGATGGGATGAACATGGACCTGGCAATTCAAATATATAATCGCAAATCCGAAATTTTTACCAAGATGTTGGAAGACAAGAAACTACCGTGAGGCAACATGTTACAAGATCTCATGTGATTGACGTACGCTTCACAGTATCAGGCCTGGCGTGTTGTCCTTGGTGGATGAGGCGATTGCTGCTGGAATTCCCCTCGCAGTGTGTTCGAGCAACACTCAGAAGAACGTCGAGTTGATCATCGAAAGCATGGGCCCTCAACGAGCAAAGCATTTTTCAATCTTTGCTGGAGGCCGAGTGGTTCACCGGTTGCATGCCATGGATGCGAGAGGGCCTTGCTGACTCTGCTGGGTCTCAGGAAGCCGTCACCGGACATCTACAACCTTTGCAAGGGCTCCTTGTCCTTACACTCTGAAGACGTCGTCATTATCGAAGATGACCTGGTTGGGTTGCAAGCAGCGAAAGCGGCGCATTGTGCCTGCCTGATCACCAAGTCAACATATTCCGTCAACGACGATTTCAAGACAGCTGATCTTGTTGTGGATGATCTCAAGGTGACCGACCTGTCTTACAAGAAATTGACGTTCTGCAACTAAAATGCATCTTTCAGAAAGGCGAAGTAGACTTGAATACAGTTTCTAGGCTCCCATTGTCCATGGTTGGCGTAAATGCTTGATCTAGAGGTTCGTGGGACTGATGGCTTCATAGAAAGAGCCACATAAACGCAAAAGCTAAGAATGAAAACATTGAACTAGATAGGAGAAATCTTGACTCGAAGCATTCATAATTGATGTTAAACTGGTCAATACCAGTCTCACGGTTGATCTGTACGGGCATCTCTACGGGCATATCTATGAACATGTTCCGAGTCACTGAGTCGCTCCCTTTGCCTCCACTGCCGCTGCAGGCATAGAAGCGTTTGAGTTTGCACTTTGCAAGGGGGGGGCAGGCTGAGGTGACCCCGTTGTAGGGATAGTAGAGGTGGCAAGATTTGGCATCATCCCCATCGACGGCATGGCAGGCATGTTGTTGGGCATGACTTGCTGTACGTGGAGTCAGTCGGTACCGGTAACACCTCTAGGCTTGTACTTGCCTTGTGTATCGCAGCAGTAGCAAAATGCACAGAAAGAGCATGTTGGGACTTGAAGAAGCGATTGCAGACCTTGCAGAGGATCGGCTCTCCAGTGTCATCCATCAAGTTCACCCGCCCTGTGTACGGAGATGCGGCGGAGGCCATGTGTCCACTAGCCCCTGATGCTGCGAGTCACCTGCAATCCTTTGAAAGCACAGCAACTCACCCGATGCTTGCCCTGGCGTGCTACCAGGGACAAGATCTCCCGATGATGACTTGCCGGGGTCCTGAGATATGACTGCGAGCAAATCCTGCACGACTCATGTAACTAAGATACAAGATCTCAATGCAGCCTTTACCTCTTCTAAAATCGCATCCTCAATGTTCAATGGGACATCGTAGCCCTGAGAGTTTAGATAATGTAGCACCGCCTATGAGGTAGTATGATTTACAAGTTGACAAAGAAACAAGGATGAATAAACCTCTTCGGTCCATGGCTGTTGCCAGACATTGACTCTTCGCAAGTCTGCAGACCTGAACAATGCATAGCGATCTATGCCCTGAGATTGGATGACCTTCAGATCCAGGGCAAGCGATGTCAGCATTTCACGAAGGAACGAAAATGGTTTTTCTGCAAATCCAGACATGAAATCGAATCTTTGTTTGCGCTCTTCGATTTGAGAGACGAGGTCTTCTATTTCTGAATCAAGCTTTGTACAAGTGGCATTCAAATCGTCAGAATGTTTCTCGTCTACAAGGTCGCGCATTTGCTTCATGAGTGGATCGTCCATCTCCACCAAAGTCTCATAAACTGATGTAGTTGAGGTTGTAGAAAGTGAAATCTTATGAATAATTTCCAAAGGCTCAATTTCTGTGACGATTTCGCTTAATTTATCCGAGATTCGACTGATTGGAATCCTCTCATCTCCAAGAATCGACTGAAGTTGTGAATCAAGTTTCAGATATAACGAATCTTCTTCATGCTGAATTCCATTCTTACTGATGTAGTTCCAAAACGCTACCAGAAGGCTGCTCCAAGTCCCGCTTTGCCACCCAATCAATCGCGCAAGTTCTGGACAACTTCGAAGGGAATATCGCATCGGACAGAAGCGAGGATAAAACAAAATTCTCAAGTCAAATTCACTGTTTGCGTGTCTGGTCACTCGGAACCCTGACGGTTTCGATGCTCCCGATTGCAGAATTCCCCCTTCCTCAAGTTCGACTTGAGCCTTGTTGGACCCTGAATGATTGACATTTCTATTCCATTCGATGCAATGAGAATGTGGATAGAGGTCTGAGGGTAGGAGGACAAACAAACGATCAAAATAGGCTGTGATGTCATGTCTTGAGGCAGCATCCGATGATCCTGCAGCCTGTTCATCCTCTACCAGCTTTCCTGCTATGTGCAAAGTCCACTTCTTGCTTGGGTTGCGTACACATGTTGCTGATTCTTCGACTTTAGATCCCTCCTGTTCAACTCCATTGTCATGGCTTACATCCTGCTACGTAGGAGTCATTCGCAGAGAAGAGAACGGAAGTGAACTTACCACATGTTCAACTGTATTGAAAACAGCAATTTGAAACCGTTTGTAAACCTTTCTTTGAGATTTCAGTGACTCTGTAATCTCAAGAAATTTTCTTGAGCTGGAAATAATCAAGAATGTCATGGATAAATTCAAAAATCTTTTGTTGCAGACCGTATCGTATCAATCCTTCGCTCAAGCTGTTGAAGTTCATGAAATAGCTTTGCCTCAGGCAATCTATTCCTATGAAGAGGAGGTTCATCAATGAGATCTCTGCAAATTCAAGTACCTGACTATTTCAGGAAGATTATGATCTATCTTCTGACGCTTCCCTTTCTCCATCGCACTCTCATCTCCCTTTCCTTGGAATTTTTTGGGGGCGAACCATTTCCTGAAAGTTGCCTCGCCGTCTTCTTCCTCCATAGCAATTTCCCGAGGAGCATCCTGAAGAGTTTCATGCTCTGCTTTAGCACGTGTTTTCAAGTTGCCCTTTTCATCAAAGAGATCTGTAGGTTTCTGGTGATATGGACGAGCCTGTAACTATGATTAGCCTACGTTTGTTTCGACGAGGATCATAGAGCATTCAACATAAGTCACTACCTCTGTGGTACCAATGCATTTGACAAATTCATTTCGCAAGTAGTCTCTTGAGACGGAGTTGCCAGCTATCCCTTGTTTGCGAAGGAATTCCCTCCAAGCCTCACCACCGAACGGACGTTCTCGCATTATCTTCACATCCCTGCATGCTTTCATTCCTTTTCGTCCAATCGTCACAGAGCTCACCTGTGAGGAAGTGTGTACCAGTCGCTGTCACCATCGTCGAATACCACATGCCACCGGTTTCCTCCGTCGCATTCACTCAGCTTGCCAGGATACCACTTCCCATCCTCATGTAGCACGAGGACAGATGAACCAATGGCTGGAATCCCTCCTTCACCCCACCAGCAGACCGAACTGTTATCAGGCCCATGATGACCACCAATCCATCCAGAGCTTTGTGGTGTCTCGCTATGCCGATTGTGTGCGGGTCGGATGCGATTCATTGTCGATCAATGACAAGCATGCAGTTGCCGGATTTGATCACAGGTGCAGTAGGGAGGGGATAGCAATTGAACTGAAGGCTGAATTACAGGAAGCAGAAGGCGGGAAAGTCCAGGAGAAGAATGGAACGATGCAGGACTATTTTGAATCTGGGTCACAAAAGAAATGCAATCTAGAAATCGAGCAAGGTTATGATGGAAACCAGGAGCGATGAATGCATGGACGGCAGCGGGGAAGAGGCAGCGGCAATGAATGCGAAAAGGGGGAGGGAGGGGAGGGGAGGGGAGGGGAGGGGAGGGGAGGGGAGGGGAGGGGAGGGGAGGGGAGGACAGTTATGGGGCGGAGGAGGGCTGGGTGGTGAAGTTCAGTAGAGGCGGCAAGGCAGCATGGGCGGCGGGAGGGGCAGAGGAATTCAGAGAGGGGTGGGGTACTAAAGTAGAGGGGTACTTTGAGACCTTCATAGATATGCCGCGTAGAGATTTCTACCTATTCCAGAGGGGTTGGCATTTTTATAGGGTAGGGTGGCTTCAACTAGGGCGATGTAGGGTAGGGTGGGATAGGAAGGGCTAAGGTAGGGTAGGGTGGGGTTGTCACCGGGACAATCAGAGACAAGACAGAGGTCCGGGCCCCGGAGGCTGCGGATGATAAGGCAGCTGTAAGTCACATTAATGAGATAATTGCTGCCTTTCGTCTATTTCTTATTTGAATCTTCTGAGGCAGACTTGTTCTCCGCGTGTCGTTTTTTTTTAAGGAATTGTTGGGGGTAGGGGTATCTTAGCAGGGGTACATTCAAAAGGAATGTGAGTTGCTGTCAGGGGTGGGTGTAAATTGTTCAAGAATGTGGGTTGGTGGGGTAGTTACAGCGGCAGGCGGCGTGGGCAATGCAGGATCGATGTGGAAGCGGCGCAGGGGAGGAGGGAGGAGGGGGCAGAAGAAGAGAGGAGAAGAAGAATATCAGGAAAGAAGTGAGAACAAGCTAGAGCAAAGATTAGAAGAATAGCACGAAAGATGCCTGTGAGGACAATGATGATGGAGGGCGCGGGAGCAGAGGTGTGATGTCAAGTCGAGATAGCAAGTTTAATGTCAGCGATAGGCAGTGACAATGATGTATCACCCGAATTCAGGCGTCTTGTTGTCCATTGATTGGGAAGCTTCGCGAATTGATCAGTCCTAACTGCTTTTGACCAGGATGGCATGCTGAAACACCAATCCGAAATTCGCTTGAACTGTTGCTGATAGCTTTCGTCTAGATCTCAAACGCAAAGGTAAATGTACATTACAGCTAGCTTCTGAATCTTGACGTGATCTCTCAGGGGCGAGACCAGCCGCTTGATTGATTCTATAAGTGTTTGTGTTGGACTTAACAATGAGATTTGTTCCTGATCAAGAGGCAGCTCTTAGAGCCCGTTTGATTGACCAACTGTCAACGCTGTCTGAAGCCGAACCTCCTGTCTTAGCAGAATATGTTATCGCTCTTCTAAAGAATGACGTCGCGCTCGATGACCTCAAAAAGACTTGCAATGATGAACTTCACGACTTTTTGCAAGACAACACTCCGGTGAAAAGGCACTTCCTAATCGATGTTGTATGACATTATTTTCAGCTTTTCGTTGATAAGCTGTTCGAAGATCTCCAGGATTGGAGCTGGATGTCAGGAGCCAAAAAACAAGTTTCAGCAACTATTCTGCAGGGCCAAGTCCTTGATCATCAGGACGAGATTGAGAGGGACGAACACACTTCGCAGTCCAACATCGGAAAGCACGCCCGTGAAGGAGGGGCCAAGTCGGAGGGTAGCAAAGTGACGTCTTCAGAAAAAGAGCAAGCTTCGAGCTGGAAGGAGGCAGAGGAAGCAGAAATGTCAAGAGTTCCTTCGGGGGGGCCTTCGAAGCGCCGTAGGAGGGAGAGAAGTCGAAGTTCAGGCGATGAGGAAGACGAACGAGAGAGTCGCCGTAGAAATCGCGACAGAAGAGGAAAGTCTTCGTCCTCTGAGGATGAACAAGACAGAAGAGGAAGGGAGGATAGGAGGCAGATGGATCGCAAGCGTGAATGGGATAGCAGGGATGCTCGATCTAGAGACAGAGGCTGGCAAGGTCATGGATCATCCCATCATCAGTACAGAGGACCAACGGGAAGAGGCGGCCATGCGCCTCCTAACTTCATGGGCGTTGGGCTTTCACTCCTTGGAATGCCCTTCGGCCCCATGGGTATTCCGCCTAAGGGCGGCATGGGCGCCTTCGGGTTTGGGGGCGCTGTTGCACCAAACAATCCCAGTTTTGGATCCAGCGGCAAGCTGGAATCCGGTGGTGGTAACGCCGAAGATTACAATCCGGAAAATCCAGCAGTCCCAGAATTGCAACAACGACAAATGATCATGAATAATCCTTCACAGCCCATGTTTCCCTTGCCTCTGCCGTCTCCCCAGGAACTGCAGAGATTCCTACGTCAGCATATTCAGAATCAGCTTTCCGCGGGGCGGGGAAAGTTGAATCAGCCTGTGGGTGGAATGCGGGACCGGAGTCGAAAAGATTTTGATTGGCAACCCAACGAAAATCGCCCAGGCACCAACGGTGAGAAGCCTCAGACAGTACAGCCAACCCTGTGTGTTGTTCGTTGACTGTGCAAGTAGGAGAATCTTGGGATGCTGGAAGAGGCGGAAGCAATGTCGAGAGCAGAGAAGGAAGAAACGAAAACCGGCCTCGTGTTGAATGGAAAACTGTGAGCGATACCATTTTGGTCACTCAGATTCCTGAGAACCAATGTACCGAACGACAGGTATGCTTGTGACAGCGTGCTTGTTCTCCACTTGTAATTTCAGCTACAGCTTCGCTCTCACTTTCAGAAATTTGGAGTGATTGCAAAGATATCTATTGATGACAAAGTAGACGACAAGAACAACAAGAGTGCCAAGATTACCTTTACATCACATCCGATGGCCAAAGCAGCCATCGGATGCGTGGATGCCGTTTTCTCAAATCGTTTTATACAGGTCTTCAGTCTCCTTAAGGTTGTTCGATACATGTTTGATGTATCGTCGCAGGTCAAATGGGCTGCACCTTCGGGAATGGATCATGGAAATGGTTCCCTGCAATTGTTTTTGCAAGCGAGTGCTCTTAACTCTACTTTACTCTCAGCGGCTACACAGCAGGGAAAGTTGTCTCAACACGCAGACAGCGGTGGCAGAAAAATCATTGGAAAGGCCAAAGGCATGAATTTTGTCCGTGCAGAAGGCGATGCGAACGAGGTATTGCGGTGGGGTTGAGGTTCATCCACGTCTGAATCGACCTAGGGCGGGAGCTTAGCGTTGAGTTCTACTGCAGAGACCCTTGAAGATTTACTTGCCCGACAGAAAGAGGCGTGTTTGCAATGATCATGCCGCCTTGCACTCGAAGAGTGGAGAACTGACTGATTGCCAAAGGTCTTGGCTGCCCTAACTGCCAAAGGAGCTGGAGAACTGAGTGCTGATGAGAAAGTGAACTTAAAGAAGGAATTTGCTGAGCTGAAATCTAAGGTTGTTTTCGTCTACGTCCAGATGACTCGATCGAGTGAAATGCATGGCAGGTACAAGCTGCGCTGAAAAGGAAGCAAGAGCAAGCGGAGGCCGCGGCCTTGGCTGCGACTGCTCCAGCCCATCCCCCGATTCGTGGAGGATTTCGAGGAGGTAGAGGAGCAGGTAGAGGGATGGGAAGGGGACACTTCCATGGAGCTCCGCCAGTCAACAGGGGACCGAAAGCGATTCTGGTAAGTTGGGACGCTTTAATCCTGCATGCTTGACTTGCCTCAATTCACTTGCTGGGCAGATCTCGAATCTTCATCCGGATATAAGCTTTGAGGGCTTACTGCGGAGCCACTTTCAAAGCTACGGACCGGTCGGAGAGATTGAGTTTCAAGAGGATAAAACAAGCTGGTGAGGGACAAGACTTGATGTGATTCGTTGATGAATGTGGAGATAGTGTGGTTCATTTCGCGACAAGGGGAGCCGCCTCGCATGCCCTGCGGCATGCTACTTTTCTCAATGGAAAGGTAACGAACACAATCTGCCGTCGCCTGTTATTGCTGCAACTCTCATGCGTGCGAAGATTTGTGTGAGATCTGCGTGCTCTTGATCGCCGTCGGTCATTCCAGGCACTCACGACAAACTGACATGCGATGTATAGACTCTCACACTCTCGTGGTTCGAACCTCCAGAGACGGCAGGGACGGAAGAGGTGACGTGCTTGATTTGCTCTGACTTGTCTAATCTGCATTCCCCTCCTTCAGTCCAACGATCAGAATGGAGATGAAGGAGAAAAGAGTTCAGCGATGGAGGAGGAAGCGAACGAAGGCGCCATGGAAGCGGACGCAGGCGACAAAGTTGAAGGAGTTGAGGAGGAGCAAGGTGTACTTGCTGGTGTTGTTCGCTCCAGGGCTATTTTGACCTCACGACAGAGTGCTGAAGGGAGGAGACTCTGTATTAGGCGAAAGAATATTCTTTGAGACCACTTGAAGTCTGCCGAAGGCTTCAGGAAGCTACTTGAGATGTAAACATACCTAGGCGAAGCTCCGCTCTCGCTTCATGAGCAGGACTTGTGAATGTTGCCAAGAAAAATAAGTTTGACTGTCTAAAGAGCGGTGCTATGAGCGGTACTATGCTATCAGCGGTACTATGAGAGGTACTATGAGTGATACTATCAGTGGTACTATGAGTGGCACTATAAGCGGTACTATCTGCACTCAGTACTATAAGCGGCTGTACCGGACTGATCCGAGTGAGTTGGGCAACTCCCATGAGAACGGCAGTGAAATCTCCCTGGAAATCTCCAGAAACAAGAATGAAAGAGCGGGGATGTGGGTATGGATTTCGGAGGGTGACATGGCAGGGTAGACCATGGAAGGGGAGCGGACGCTGTTGCTAGTCGGAGACGATGGAGGAGAAGAGAGCGGGAGAAGAGAAGGAGGAAGGGGAGTAGGAAGATGGATCTCGAGGAACTGCTGCTCAGGAAGGATCCCCGTCCTTGCATGCTCGATCGTCGTCGCTCTCTTCGTCGGAGCGTTGCACCTGCTCCCAGAGGACGCCTCTCACCAGACGTTCTCGAGAGCCAAAGGCAAAGCAACAGGCCAGCAGCTGAAGCATGCTGATCATGCTCATGTTAGAGCTCCCAGATCCTCCACCATCTCCTCCTCGATGCTGAGCAAGATACCCAGTGACATGCGTGCTTCTATCAACTCGAGTGCGGACCCGTGCACGGACTTTTACGAGTTCTCTTGTGGGCAATGGCTGGAGGAGACGAGCATACCCTCTTGGCAGTCCTCATGGGCTAAGCAGTGGGACGGGGTTACCACAGATGTTGAGCACGAGACAGTCAAGGCGCTCCAGAAGGACGCGGGGCCAGCAGGAACATTTTTCCGTTCCTGCATGGACACGGCTACGATACAGAAGCTCGGCAACGCTCCTCTCAAGCCATGGATGAATGGCGTGGAGCTAGTGAAGGATCATGCCTCCTTCATGCGATCTCTTGCAAACTTCGCTCTGTCCGACATGACGGTCTTCTTCGGGTGGTGGGTCGATGCAGACAGCATTGACTCGAGCATCAACAGCTTCTTCATAGCGCAAGGCGGCATCACCATGCCCGACCGCTCCTACTACATCGACCCGTCCAAGAGCATGGCGAAGAAGAGGCTGGCCTTCAAGACGATGGTGTTGAACATCATGCAGCTGTCGGGGAGGACCAGGTCTGAGGCGGTCGAGGACGCGAACAACGTCATGGAGCTTGAGACAGCCATAGCGAGAGCTATGAAGGACAACGCAGCGGAGCGAGACGAGCATGGGGAGAGGATGCGCGTCTCTGAGCTTCAGCAGCTTGTGTCGAGCATCGACTGGAAGAGCTGGCTGAAGATGCTGGGTTGCCCGGACGTGGGGAGCGGGAAGGGAAGACATTTGATTGTGAAGAACAAAGAGTTTCTGACCAAGGTAGGAGAGCTGATGAAGACCTCCAGCTACGACAAGATCAGAAGCTACTTGCGATGGCAGGCAGTCTACAGCTTCGCTCCGTACCTGTCCTTCCCTTTCGAAGACGAGCTTGTGAGGTACAACAACGAGATCTACGGGATCTCAAAGCTTCCTCCGAGATGGCGCAAGTGTTTCTTCTCAACCGGAGAAGCGATGGACATGCATGTTTCTCGAGTCTTCGTGAACCATTACTTCCCCGAGTCATCACGTCGACATGCCCTCGACATGTTGATGCAAATCCGTGAGCAGTTCAATCAGACGCTGCAGAAGAAGGAGTGGATGGATGAGGCGGCGCGTGTTAAGGCTGTCTACAAGCTTCAGCACATGTTCCTCGAGGTCGGCCATCCCTCTGTGTGGCCTCCTAGCGCCTTCCAAGACTTCAAGAGCTTCGGGGGCATCCGGGACAACACTTACTTCGACAACATCGTCGCCACTAACGCATTTGACGTGCAAAACGCGCTGTCACGGTTGGGCAAGAAGGTCGACAGACGACGATGGGGCAGCTCATCGGCGACAGACGTCAACTCCTACTACTCGAGGAAGGTCAACGGAATTTTCATCCCCGCAGGCATCCTCCAGCCTCCTTTCTACAGCCCGACACAGGCCATTGCCAGAAACTATGGCAGCGTCGGTTCCATCTGCGGGCACGAAATGACCCACGGCTTCGATGACATCGGTACCTCCCGCCTGGTTGCTGGTCGCAGCTGACGCATAGAGCCCAGGACGTGAGTATGACGCGGATGGGAATAGAAATGGCTGGTGGGACGAGCAGGTGGTGAAGAACTTCAAGGAACGAGCCAAGTGCATATCCGAGCTCTTCTCTAGCTATGAGGTCGACGGCAAGGTTGCTACGCTCCCTCCTTGCCCCTCCTCTTCCTCCCCTTCCCTCCTCGTTCCTCTATCTCCACTTCCTCCCCTTCCCACCTCTTTGCTCTATCTCCCATTCCTTCCCTCCCCGCTCTTTCCTGCATCCCCTCATACGGTTCCTCCTGCTCTCAGTCCTCCTGTTCTCCTTGTCGCCTCTGCTCGTCTCACTGATTGTTTTCCTGCTCCTTGACCAACAGCATGTCAATGGAGAGCTGACGCTAGGTGAGGCCATCGCGGACTCCGGAGGTCTCAAGGTGAAGCTCCTCTTGCTCCACGTGCTCTCCTTGTTCACTCCCCGACAGTTCTCCTGGGAATCTTTTCTGCATGCATATCAGCCGTCGCACACAGACCGGTAGCGGAGCGTTGGCTGACTTGTTTGAAGTTGATCTCTCCTGCCAGGATGTTGTTCTTCATCGCCATGGGGCAGACATGGTGTGAAAAACTCAAACCGCAGGTCAGTCTCTATCTTCTCCTTGTTTGCCGCCACTTGCTCTCTACCTTCTCCTTGTTTGCCGCCACTTGCTCTTCTCCTCTGCTCCTCCTCGCCCCTTTCCTTCTGCTAAACTTTTTCATTCAGGGAGCCAAGGCTTCACTTCTCACTGATCAGGTCGATTGTCTGTCTTTATTCACCCCGTCTCTCCTCCCCTCCTCCTCCTCTCCTCCTCCTCTCCTCCTCCTCCTCCTCCTCCTCTCCTCCTCCTCCTCCTCCCTCTCCTCTTCCTCCTCCTTCCTCCTCCTTCCTCTCCTCCTCCTCCTCCTTCTCTTCCCCCTCCTCCCTTATCTTGCTCTGGCTCTTTGTTTCTCTCACTCCTCATCTTTGGCAGCACCCTCCTTCCAAGTTTCGCGTCATCGGAACTCTCAGTCAGTTCGCTCCGTTCGCGGAGACTTTCAGGTGTCCTGTTGGCTCTCCCATGAATCCCGCACGGCGATGTCACTTGTGGTAATGGGGAGAGTCGGCGCACAGCACATGTCGAAAGAGAATCAAAACAATCTTATCTATTAGACTTCCAATGAAGATTCACACACATGGATTTCAGTTTCAAAGATTCTGTTGGAGGAACTTGTTGTTTGATATGGAGCATGATTGTTTTAGATCATGTAGATTATGAAGAGCGTGTAGGGCTGGAACACATGGAGAGCATGGTGAGCATGAAGAGCGTTTCATCAGCGGCGCTGTCCTGCCAGTGTCCTTCTCACCATAAAATTTCATTAGCTTTTAAAACCAATAATATCCCGTATAAAGGCTTTAGGGGGACCAACCATGGCAGCTCCGCTACCTCTTTCCTTCCTCCTCCTGCCCCTCTCCCTCTCCCTTCGATCAGCTCCCCCTCACTTCTCCTTCTCTCCCTCCTCCCTCCTCTCCTCCTCTCCCTCCTCCCTCCTCTCCCGCTCTCCTTCCCGCTCTCCTTCTCTCACTTGCGCCAGGCCTCCTCGACCATGCCGCGCTTGTTCATCTGCCATGTCGAAGACGCCGGGAGGGGGAGAGGAGGAGGGGCAGTACCATGAGGTAGAGTACAAGGGAGAGAAGCTGAGGGTGAAGGACGGGGAGCTCCTTCGCTCCTCCCTCCTGCGAGCCTCCCTCTCCCCTCACAACTCCCTCGCTCAGACTATCAACTGCCGCGGGCTGGGAACCTGCGGCACCTGCGCCGTCAGCATCCAAGGACGCGTGTCTCCTGCCGAATGGACCGCCATGGAGCGAGCTCGTCTCAACTTCCCCCCGTACAGCAACGACAACAACTCGCTCCTCCGCCTCGCCTGCCAGGTCCATCCCGCCTCCTCCTCCCCTCCTCTGACGTGCGACCGGTAGGTGCGAGTACAGGGCGACCTCAAGGTCACCAAGTTCGACAAGTTTTGGGGTCAAGGCAAGGAGGAGACGCGTGACAAGAAGTTTACAGCTCCTCTGGGAGAGCTGGAGTACATCCTAGATCGCAAGAGAGAGTAGCGGGAGGAGGAGGAGAGGACAGACTTGCGAGACAGGAGGAAGAGACAGTGACCTTGAGGTTTGAGATGATACAAGAATTCCTTCAGGTTAAACAAATCTCCTGCTCCTGCTCCTACCTCCACCCGACCTTGGACTTGGAACGCTCAAACCCGAAACGCTCCTTGTTGGAGGGCTTGCCATGAGCCGAGGATGGCCGTTGATCCTTGGGCAGCTTGAGGATCGAGTCTCTGCTGTGGGGAGATCAAATCAGACAAGGAAGAGAGGGGAGGGGAGGGGAGGGGAGGGGAGCACCTGGAGCTTGTTGCTGTGGAGGGACGAGGAGCAGAGCGGGGGGGATGCAACGAAGTTGCGTCAGTCTGTGAGCGGGTGACGAGGCGAGGAATCGCTGTCGTCTCTTTCTTGGACAGCAGCCGTTTGGTCTCCTCCTTCTTCTGCCTGAACCTGCCGCAAACCGTCATCGCCTCCTTCTCCTCCTCGCTGCTCAGAGACCTGGCAAGTCTTTCCTCCAGCGTCTCGCACTTGTTCCCATCCTTGTTCTCGTCTCCGAAGGTTCCACTGCTCTCATCCTTGCCACTTGCATGTGGGGCCCGCTCCTCTTCCTCCTCCTCCTCCTGTTGCTCCTCCTTTACCTCCTCAGCATTCCAGTCTGACAGCGAGTACAGCGACTCGAAGCCCGAGGGACCTGAGGAGGATCCTCCTGCTCCTGCTCCTGCTCCTGCTCCTGCTCCTCCTGTGCTCTGACCCGAGAGAGAGGAGCGATGGGTGAGCAGGGTATGCCTGTGGACGGAGTCCTTGTGTCCTCCGAACTCAAAGCTGGACGAAGACAACCTCCTGTGCTCAGGCGAGGAGGAGGAAGAGGAGGAGGAAGCAGAAGCAGGGGCGGAGGCCTCCGGTTGCTGGGAGGCGGGAGGATCGCAAAGGGTCTTGACGTCACGTTTCTTCTCCTCCTTCATCTGCTTTCTCAATCTTTCGTTCTCCTCCTTTTGCTTCCGTTCTTCCACCTGCTCAGCATCAGAGGCACATGGCGAGGGAAGAGGCGCAGGCACCTCCTTCTTCTCGAGCTTCTCCTGCAGCATCGCCAGCTGCTCTTCCAGCTTCTGCTTGTCCTCCTCGACCCTCCTCGCGCTCTCCTTCGCCTCCTGCACCACCTGCTGCATCTCCTTGAGGGCAGCCGCCGACCCTCCATCTCCCCTCCTCTTTGCTCCTCCAAGCTCCACCCCCCGGGCCCTCGTCGCAAACTGCAGGGAGCAGGACGTCTCTGGTGCATCGGAGTCGCAGGGGGAGGAGCAGACGAACATGAGGACCTTGGCATCGCCTGCGAGCGAGTCCTGCAGGAGGTGGGTGAGCTTCGAGTCCCTGAAGGGGATGTGCTTGCTCTTGGCCACGAGAGCAGACACGCAGTTGCCCAACGCCGACAGCGACTTGTTGATGTTCTTCGCCTCCGTCAGCCGCTCCCCAGTCGCCCCAGTCCTTGACAGCCTCTGCAACTCCGTGAGGAAGGGGAGGGGAGGAAGAGA